CATTTCTATAAATCGAAAGGAGATTGCGACCATACCAGAGGCCACACTATCTTGGTCTTCATGTCTTAAATATGCTATCAAGTTTCAGCAAAGTGAAATTCCTCATAATTCGTCATCATCTCTATGGAAATACCAAACAGAATAATGTGTCAATTTAAGCGACTTGATAAACTCACTTCTCAGGCTCGGACAGTGAGCGGTTTCCAAGGCTGGACGCGAGTCCTCAGAATCCATCGAGTTGGCGCCTATCCGCAGCCCGACTGATCCAGCCTCTTTGGCGTCCTTTAGAGTCTGTCCAGCCGGTCTCGAGCGCCACTTGGTCGCTGCAGTTGCCGGGACTCCGGAGACACCAGTTCCCAGGCGCGGGGTTCCGCGTCCCCCCGGCGACAGAGCCGACATTGCCGGCATTGTGCCAGGCCTCCGAGAGGCCTCGAGAGGGCTGAATGCCGACAATTGTGCGAGATTTGCGGCTGGTTGCTGGGCCGGTTCAAGATGGCCGAACATGTCCGTCTGCCCCGAAGCCATAACGCCCATAGATACCGATCCAGACGTGATTCCGGCAACGCTTCGCTTCTCTCCCCAGGCCTCAGTTACCAGGCCACAGGTAGCAGTATCCGGGTGAGGCAAATGGTCGCCAAGACCTCTGGCGAAGTCACTTCGGCCGTGGTGATTGTCAAAAGCCAGCAGATTGCCATTTCCTGGCTTTTGGGTTGCTGGCCAAAAGCCAGGCTGACCGTTCAGGTCGGCTTGAGTCTGGCTGAAATCGAGGGGAGGTTGGTCTGTCTGGTCCGCGGTGGAGATGAGCGGCTCGAGATGGGCCGAGTCGAGGGGAGTCTGGATGCGCGAGTCCGTGTGCATTGAGGCTCTGGGACGCATCATCTCGGGTTGCAGTTCCTCGGATTCGCCGATCAGTTGTGCCATTGCAGACTGCTCCTTGCGACGTCGACGGTAGGTCAGGCCTAAAAGGATAGAAAGAGGGTAGGAAGGATATTCTGTTGACTTGACCGGCTGACATTTGCGAGCTGGTTAGAGGTAGACATCTGCAAGTCTGCAAGATGGTAGAATTTGTTCAGAAGATGGTAGAAATGCATTCCATGATGAATAAGGTCACATCTCGAGAAGGCAAATTGTGTGCGGATAAAAGGTGGTTATAAATAGAAACTGCCTTTTGATGAGTCTCCCGAGTTAACATTCTCGCGGACTTTCATTTCGTATGAAAGCGCATGCAGAAAAGATTATTAGCTCGATCTCACCAGAAGAGGATGTATGAATTGAATTTGGCTTTTATACGACGTTAAAGTCGACGAGATCTCCTCCCTCGTTTCGGGTGAAAACGGGCTGAGCTTTCACTTAACACACTCTCGTCCAAAATGTTAAATTAATCTCATCTACCAAACAAGACATGCCATATTACGCAACCATAGTCGTTTATTTCCTCGGGTGGTTACATGTTAATGTTAATGTGGTTTCGTAAATTGACTTACATGCTTACAAGCTTACATCTCATCATCTCAACCATACTCGCTTACGGACTTACGCAGTCTCGATCAGGGCTTTCTTTTGGGTAATTAAGTCTTCATGATGAGAGCCTTTTTATAACTCTGATTTAAGATCGGTATTGCGTATAGACGCTAACACACACACACACACACACAAACATACACACACACGCACACACTTGAGCAAGAGTAACAGGACCATTATGAATGATAATTAGCCAAACCACTATATTTCTATCAAGGTTTATAATTTTATTTCGCTAAATTGAGTCTATATAAGACTCTTGACTCGTTAGCTTGAATTTTGTTGTGACGATGATACCTCGCTC